TCCATGGAGGAAGAAATGGCAACCCACACCAGTATCCTTGCCTGGAAAATCCCCATGGACAGAGAAGCTCGGTGGGCCACAGTCCATGGGGTTGCAAAGAGTAGGACATGACTGAGTGACTAAACAGCATGAACTGGAATTATCTGGTTTGCTGAATCCTTTGGATGCCCCACTCCCTTTCAGAGTGTTAGTTTTTCCTACCAGATTTTCTGTAAATCACTTTAGGCCCAGAATGGTTGTCAGGTTCTGGCCAGTCACCTGTGATTCCTATAATAGCTCCATCTCCCTAGGGAACGAGGCATGAACACGTTTCTGTTCCGACCTCATTGTGGGGAAGCTGGAGCTCTCACTCATCTCATGACAGCATTCATGACAGCAGATAACATCTCTCATGGCCTGAATTTAAAAAAGGTGAGTTGGAGGCTCTCTTCTCAACCTTAACTTTTATGTGGGAGCAAGAGGGATAGCTTTTTTCCTCCTTATCATTTTGTCACAAGTCATTATCAACACTGGAATCAAAATAAAGGAGAGCAAAAAAAATTTTTGAGATTATTTACTGCACTTCATTTTACAGAGGCCCGGAGAAGTAAAGGAATTTGCTCAAAATTACCTAGCTAGTCAGCGGCAGGGAGGGGTTAATGCAGATCTCCTGACTTTCATTTTAGAGCTCTGACAAGGGATAAATGCGAGGTGCCTTGGCCTACCTTCAGCTGGTTTTTGCCAGATTTCATGTTGTAGCATGTTTCAAAGCGCCTCTTGTGAGAGTTAGAACTTTCTTGTAGAGTAAAAAAAAGTTTCACGGTGAATTCTTTTGCCTAAGATGGACCATTAACTTAGACAATTAAAACTTAAACAATTTGGTTTGACTCAATGCTTCTGAAAACTGATCTCATAAATTTATTCTAAATAGTATTTACATTTAAAAACTATTCTTTTTTACAACAGGATTTAAAGAATAGGTGATAATTTTGTTGAAAGCTAAAACCTGACGTAGATCATGGGGTTTTAACACTTTTAGTTTGCATCCCTTTTCCAATATTTAAAAATTTTTTTTTTCACTTTTCCTTTTCAGAGTCCTGTGTTACAGTACTTGTTTTTCTTAGCCCAGATTCCCATCGCTATGTCGCCATTAAGTAACAACAGCTTATTTCTAGAATACGCCCGAAATCCTTTTTTAGATTTCCTCCAGAAAGGGCTAATGATCTCATTGTCTACAGATGACCCAATGCAATTCCACTTCACCAAGGTACACATATGGAATTTTGAGCAATACAAGTATATTTTGCTGAACTGTTACTTACCATCTAGAATTTTAAAGTTGAATCATGATATTTCACTATTCTTTTGTGCAGGATGTGTTATTTCTTTTAATGCATCCCTTTTTCTTTCCCTCTTTTAAATAAATAACCCAAGGAGCCCCTAATGGAAGAATACGCCATTGCTGCACAAGTCTTCAAGCTGAGTACCTGTGATATGTGTGAAGTGGCAAGAAACAGTGTTCTGCAATGTGGAATTTCTCATGAGGTAGACCTGCCTTTGATTATCCTTCTGAGTCTGGAATTTGGTAACCTGAATATTGAAAAATTAGTTGGAAGAAACACATGTTGAAAAATTATTTCGGGAATCATGTGCAGTTACTATGGACAGGGTCTAGAAAGAATTATTCTCTCTCTCTGGCCAGGACTGTGGGCAAGGAAGATAAAATACACTTATTTCTCAGCAGACCATGCACATTGACGCACTGGATGAGTGCTCTTAGTGGTTTATTGTTTTCCTCTTGCCTGTGGCTAATGTAAGGAAGGAATCTTTGTGGAGGATGTAATTATTGTCCATATCAGGGTAAAAAGCAACAACAATCATTCTGTTTCCTTTTTTCTTATAGGAGAAAGCAAGGTTTCTGGGCAACAATTACCTTGAAGAAGGCCCTGCTGGAAATGATATCCGAAGGACAAATGTGGCCCAAATCCGCATGGCCTATCGCTATGAAACCTGGTGTTATGAACTTAATTTAATTGCTGAAGGCATTAAATCAGGAGAATAAAACAAACAAAATAATGACATGGGTGAGATTTTCATTGTAGGGTATAAATAGCAATGGTTACTAGTTATCGAATCCCTACTATAAACCAAAGATTGTATTAGATATTGGTTCATTGACATTATTTCATTTAATGCTTTGCACAACTTTATAGATATTATTGTTCCCATTTTGGGGGAGATGAGTAAACTGAGATTAGTGACCTATATAAGGATATACCTAGTGAGACGTAGCAATGGAGACCTGGATTTGTCTGACTGCAGAGTCTCCATGACTTTCAGGCAAAATATTTATTAAGGCAGGGCAAAAATACAAGCAAATGATTTGTTATAGGGAGAACACAGGCTTTTGGTTTACAGAATGGAACTTGCTAAAGGCCATTTTGACAGGATAAGACCACTGAAAAGTCCTTTTGACAGGATACAGCTGAAGAGTGACTTTCTTAGACAAAAACAGAAGTGGTGTAACCCAATAAAGAAAATCTGTAATTATGAGTTGTTATACTTAGGGAGAATTTATCTTACAAAAGGATTCTTGGTTTTTTTTTTCTTTTGCTTGAAATATTCCTTATTTATTGGGAACATTCTGGCAATGGGAAGAACAGCTTGCACTTAACAGTAACAGGAAAACTAGAACAAGTTAAATGATTGCCATTACACATCTCTCGCCCAAGAAGAGTATCAGTCACTCAGTCGTGTCCAACTCTTTTCAACCCCGTGGACTGCAGCCCGCCAGGCTCCTCTGTCCATGGGATTTCTCAGGCAAGAATACTGGAGTGGGTTGCCATTTCCTCCTCCAGGATCCTTAGTTTTAAGAATGTAATTCACAATTAAGTTATACTCAGCAGTAGTGGTACATTTTAAATGATTTTATTTACCAAAAGAAAAGTTACACGTGTAACTTTTTAGAATCATTCCTGTTACTCAAGGTCAAGTGGAATTCCAATTAACCAGACTATATTTCTATACACATATGGTTGTGTTGCCATCCAATGGTTGGGCTGATAACTTCATTCACCTTATTCAATAAACAATTACTGACCAAACATCTAAAATATCAGGTACATACCTAGACAGCAAAGGTATAAGGAATAAGATCTCATTCTTTTATAGACCACAGCTAGTATCAAATTGTTTGCAGCATGAAGTTACAGCATTAGCAGGTACAAATGTGAAAAGGAGCATTTTGTGAAATATATCAGAAAATAAAGACATTTCAAAAGGAAAAAAAAAATAAAAACAAATTCCTACATGCTTCCACATTCTGTACAGGTGGTCCTAAGCATAGGTGTGATTCCAACAACATGTTTGTACTAGCCCTGGTGTAAGAAATCTCTCCTTGGTTTCTGAAGTTGAAGTTCTCTTTGCTGAATATTTTTAAGTCCCTTAGGCAACCTGATTTTTCTTTTACCTTGACCTCTTTGTTACCAAAATAATACAAACTGCCAAATTAAACTTTCTATTCTCAGATTTAAAAAGGCATGAACTACCATTATGTATATCTCCATCTTACCCATGAGAGGGCAGTAGAATACATACATGTCATTTATTACACCCATAAAGAGGATGAAGATGAAGATTTGGTTTCATATTTAGTACTTGGAATTTGATCTGCTCATTTTGGCTTATAATCTTCCTGAATGTGAAGTTTGGAATAAATCTGAATTTTGAAATAAATTTCAAAACCACACTGTTTTAGCCCAACATTTTATCTTAAACAATTGTTTGGGGAGTTTTCTAAATACACGAGGATTTTTTTTGGTGGTGAGGGGGAAGGGTCTGATCGTTGTTCAAAATTTACCACAAAAAATATTCACAATATCCACATTTATTTCCTCACTGAGAAGTGATTAAAAACATGTCTTGACATTCCTTCCTTCCCCGCCCCCACCATTATAGAAGAGAATTCCTGTTTTATTGTCCACAGCTCATGGTTTCACAACGGTTCTGGATATGCAGTTTTTACTCCTTTAGCTAAGTTGACCTGTGACAGTCATCTGTAATGTTTGACCAAACACCGCTCTTTCTGGTCTTCTATTTTGGTACCCTCATATGAACAGATGTGGGAAGAGTTTGGTCACCAGATCCAAGAGGCTCTGGCGGGGTGGTGTGGGGTAGGGTGGAATCGGGCGGGCCCAGGCTGGGTGGGGTAGTTAGCAAGTGCCTGGGAAACAGGCACAACTCATCCTTGACTCGCAGCCTTAGTGAAACTGGGCTGCTGCTCGCAGTAGGCACCGCGCCATGCACATACCTGAGGACGAGCGTGTTGCAGGCGCAGCGCTTAATCATGTCACAACAGGGCGTGGGAGCCGACCTCAGGCACTGGGAGTATCAAAGGCACCTCTGCTCTGGGATTTCAAGCCTGAAGTGTCGGGAGCGTTATATGCAGCTGTACATTTCAAGTCGGGGCTGTATTGCAACTGCCGGAGATATTTTTGCCCCCCCCCCCCCGCCCCCAGCTCAGCCCGAGGAATGATGCTCCTCTTTCACTGGAGACACCAGGCCTACTACACTCGTTGGCAGGAGACAGTTGTACGGTTTCCTCGAGTGAGGTGCCATTTGAATTTCTTGATTAGGCTTTGTCTCACGGGTAGCTGTGAAGAGTCAACATTATGTAAAGTTCTTGTCCATCGCCGTGGAGCCTGTTGGACGGCAGGCACGGTGACAACTAAGGAGCTTTGTCTAGAGGCCTCGGCCGGACGACAGTCGTGCCTGCCGCTTGCCTGCCGGAGCCGCAGCCTCTTGGCGCCCAGGATCCTGGGCAAGGTTCTGGCCCCCACACTGGACTCGAGCCGGGGCGGTTCCCCGCAGGAAGGTCCTCGGGCGGTGCCGTGGGCGGGTCCAAGGGCGGGCCCAAAGGTGAGGGGTGGGAACATGAGCCAATAAGAACAGGGCTTGGCCGGGCCGGGGCGGGGCCTGCGGCCGGGTCTGCGGGGGCGGGACAGAGCCCACCCCAAGTGGAACTCAGCCGACCTGGCGCCTAGGCTGAGAGGATTAATCCCCGCAGCCCAGAGGCGGAGGCGGCCTCGAGGCCCAGCGCAGGTAAGAGCGCGGTGACCTGGGGCGGGTTCTGAGGCAGGGGCTTCGGCCCCTCGGAGCGGAGGGTGTCGCACGTTGGGAGCCGGGCCTTGGGGCGTCGGGAGCCGTCCTGCCGCAGAGCGGGAGCGGGCTGGCGGCCGTATCGGCACCTCCCCGGCCTGGAGGGACTCACGAGCGTGCGGCTCCGCGCCCAGCGGACGCTGGATTTGGGAGCCCGCTGGTCGGCGGAGGCGGCTGTGATGGAGCCTGACTGAGGGTCTCCTCGCCGCTCACCTCGGGGCGCGGGGACCGTCGTCCAGGTGGCGCTCGGGGGCGCTCGGCGGTCCTGGGGAAGAGGCAGGGAGCTCCCGGCATTCAGAAGGAAACGCGGGGCTTTCGTCGGTATTAAGCCGCGACAGGCTGAGACGGTGGGTTTTTCAAACATTTTTGCTTTTTTGTGTTTTGAGCCTTAACAGAAGCTGACGAGCACAGTAAAGTCGTCAAGTAGGATTTTGATTAAAAAAATCTGACAGTGGAACATCTAAGAGTTTCTAACTATTATAGTATGACAGAAGATGATCATAATATGAGTCAGGGGAGGGAGTTTCGGCCTGGACCCACGTATCAGATGTGATACCTCGGTTAAAGTCGACTTTTCTGGGCCTCGTTTCCTTAGCTGTAAAATCGGGATGCTTTTGCCAGGCGGTATTCATAGGGTCAAATGAGATGAGTGAGAGTGTCCTATAAATGTTAGGTATCGTATATTCTGTAAAACAACTATTAAGCGCCAGGCACATAGTAGGCTCTTTGTAAACCATTACCCTAAAGCTAGTGGTTCACCTACGGTGTTTTAGATAAAGTCGTACATATCGGTTTACTGTGTACATTGTTTTAGCTCATGTTTTACCAATCACCATTGTTGGAAGTGTGGTCCATTTTTCGTTGATTAATGAATTTTTCTAGAATGGTACACTACACTGTTACTGAATCATTTACCAAGAAGTTTGGTAGCAGTTGATCTGTGTCTTTGCTTTGGGTAAATAGTTGTAGTTTAAGTTACCTGGTTAAGTAAGCTAGGAGTATTGCTTCAAATCAAGACTGATATTAGCTTTTGTAAGATTTAAATCGCCCAAAACAAAATATATTAATATATAGCTGCATTTTTGGTACAGCTTTTATTATAGACATTTGCGTTCTTTTCTGTGGGTTTGTGAATGTGTGAGGAGTTTTGGAGGGAGATTTTTGGAGGAAGACTGGAAATGAAAAAAGGAATAACAGTTTGTAACCAGGACACTTTGACTAGGGATAAATGTAGGCGTGTTCTGAAGTCGTTTCCCAGACAGAAACCAGGAAATGTAGTAATTGTGTCCCTTGGCTTTTCATTAGTTTGTGTGTGTGTGTGTTGATAGATTTTTTTTTTAATGAGGATATAAAGGAAGAATGTTAATTTTTCTGATGTGACAATAGGCAGTTTTCTAAAACTGGAAATTATATTTTATTATTAAAATAGTTTCTTAATTTTTTGGTGACTGTGCCCGGTCTTCCCTGCTGCACAGGCTTTTCTCTAGTTGCAGCAAGTGGGGTTACTCTCTAGTTTCAGTGCCTGGGCTTCTCCTTTTGAAGGCTTCTCTTGTTGTGGAGGACCAGCTCTAGATTGCACGGGCTTCAGTAGTTGTGGCACATGGGCTCAACAGTTGCAGCTCCGAGACTCTAGAGCACAGGCTTAATAGTTGTGACACATGGGCTTTGTTGCTCCATGGCATGTGGGGTCCTCCTGGATCAAGGATCGAATCCATGCCTTCTGCATTGGCAGGAAGATTCTTTACCACTGAGCCACCAGGGAAACCCTGGAAATTTTATTTTAAATGATCTGTAGTAAGTCTTACATTATAGACAAGAATTTTAGATCACTGGGTACCAAGACCAAATTAAATGGAGAAGTAGAGGGAAAGTTTCTAGTGAATATAATTTTTGTTTTGCTTTAACAGTTTTACATGTTTCAACAGTTCAGTGCAAGATGGATGTTTTGAAACACCAATTTCAAGCATGTACTCCATATATGAGGTTTGCTGTGATTTCTAATTTGTTGGTCTTGGCAGACTGAAATCTTAAATTCACATTATTTATTAAGCATTAATATATTCTAAGGCACAGTTTTAGCACTTACGTTCCTGTATGGGCAGCTTCCCTGGTGGCTCAGTGGTAAAGAATATGCCTGCCAGTGCAGGAGACGTGGGTTCGATCCCTGGGTTGGGAAGATCCCCTTGAGAAGGAAATGGAAACTCACTCCAGTATTCTTGCCTGGGAAATCCCATTGACAGAGGAGCCTGGTGGGCTACAGTCCCACCAGGTGGGTTACAGAAGAGTTGGACAGGATTTATGAACTAAACAACATCTGAGTCACCAGAGAAGCCACCCATACATTAATATAAGTATATAATGTATAATATATACATTAATATAATGCAAAAACTGTGCATTGGAATGTATTAGGTGCTCAGTAAATAACATGAGTATAAGGCTTCAGTCCGCCAAGATCAACAGACAATAAAGAATCTGCCTGAAATGCAGGAGACCTGGGTTCAATCCCTGAGTCAGGAAGTCAATATCTTCTCCCTTGAGAAGGGACTGGCTACCCACTCCAGTATTCTTGTCTGGATAATTCCATGAACAGAGGAGCCTGGCAGCTATAGTCCATGGGGTCACAAAGAACTGGACCCAACTGAGAGACTAACAGTTCTTGTATGGGCAGGATTTAATTCCTTCCATCTAGGAGATTACATTTTGTTCCATGCTGCTGCTGCTGCTGCTAAGTCGTGTCCGACTCTTAGCGACCCCATGGACTGAAGCCCCGTAGGCTAGCATAAGTACAGAGAAAGTTTTTTAAAAACTGATGATAACGATAACATCAACCAGCATTTATTGGGATGTGCTTTGGGCTAGGCAGTGTTCTAAATTCTTACATGTATCAGCTTATTGAATCCTTAGAACCACCTTGAGGGGTGTTATTACTATGATCTCCTCTTTGAGCAACATAGAAAGGTTGAATAACTTTCCCATATCAAACAGCCTAGGTGCCAGAGCTAGGTAGGATTCAAACCAGACAGTTGGACTTCAAAAATCCTGATCTTTGCCCTTTCACTATACTGAGTTTAGAATTTGGTGAGTGAGATACAAATGAAATCCAAGGAGTACTTAAAAGAAAGTTCTGTGAAAAACTTCAAAAAGAAGGAAAGAGAGAGAGAGACTGGTATTACAAAGTATAGATGAAGGCATATCCAAGCTTCAACTTAATTATGCTTTATATATGTATGAAAATTTTTTTTTCCTGGTGAATGACGTGAGATTCTTTTTGTTTTTGAGCTCTTTCAGTCACTCAGTTACTGCAATTATGGCATTATCTTAATACTATGAGAGGTGATTATTTTTCAATAAGTAGTTTAAAATGTCTTTTTGCAGAGGATAAGTTAAATGTTAGAGTCAAGAAAATGTTTCCCTGACTTCAAGATGCTTATAACCAGACATGTAAATACGTCCCTACAATTTCAGGGTGAGAAGAGTTATAACAGAGATACATGCCGGGCTGTGCTTAGTCGCTCAGTCGTGTCCCACTCTTTGCTACCCCATGGACTGTAGCCCGCCAGGCTCCTCTGTCCATGGAATTCTCCAGGCAAGAATACTGGATTGGGTTGCCATGCCCTCCTCCAGGGGAGCCCAACCCAAGGATTCCCAAACCGGGGATCAAACCAGGTCTCCCGCATTGCAGGCAGATTATTTATTGTCTCAGCCATCAGAGAAGCCCAGGAATACTGGGGTGGGTAGCCTATCCCTTCTCCAGGGGATCTTCCTGACCCAGGAATTGAACCAGGGTCTCCTGCATTGCAGACGGATTCTTTACCAGCTGAGCTAGCAGGGAAGCCCATAACAGAGAAAAAGTTAAGAGTTTAATTGGACCATTGATGAGGGAAGATAATTCTGTATATGAGAGAGGAGGATTAGTGAGATGATACCATATTTGAATTTGGCTTTGAAGGATGAATAGGAGTTTGCTGAGTTGGGGAAGGGAACAGAAGATATGGATGCAAACCAGGAATATTAGGTGGAAGTATATGGTATGTTTCAGGAATGTGTTGTAGTCCACATTGTCATTAAACGTCGGAGTGTATAGAGATGAGGGGTTGGGCTAACAAAGATGTTGCCTGGAAATAAACTGGAAAAAATAAAAAGGTTGCAGATCTTGGTTGCCAGTCATGTTAGGATTGCTGAAATTTCTAGAAATTAGGTTAGGTTTGGGATTTCAGTACCTTTCGTTTGAAATAAAGAAGATTTTTTTCCTGTTTGACATAATCTTTCACTATAGAATATGGTGTTAAAGGTAGTTTTAATACTTTGAAGTATAGGATATGCTATAAAACAACATACAGATTAGGCATATAAAAAGTTATGACTCAGAGAAAGAGTCTTCATTTGGTGAAGGGCCTTTGTATCGTGTTGAGGACTTTGGACTTGATTCTAAAGACAATAGCACGCCAGTGAGGAACTTTATGTAATTAGGAAAGACAACATGGTGGTGGCTGATGTAGATGCTGGATTGGATGGATAGGCAAAAGATAGAGAGATAAGTTAGAAAGCTGGTGCTATTGAAATAGCCCAGATAAGAGAGGATAAGAGCTGAGCAGGAAAATAGTAATAGGGATGAAAAGGAGAGGACAGATGATAAAAATGTAGAATTTACATGTAGAATTTACATTTACAAATGTAGAATTTAAAAAGTGATTGGCTTTGAAGGTCAACAGAAAAGTAAAAACTTAGTTTCTCAGCTTGGGAAACTGGGTAGAAGAGCTTGATTTAATTGTTAATGGGAGGGGGAAGTTCATTGTTTAAGATTTGAACAAGATGAGTTTGAGGTGTCTATGGAGCATCAGATGGAGATGGCAGGAGAGGATCCAGAGCCCAGAGGGGAGGCCGAGATTGGGGATTGAGATTTAGGAGTTAGCCAGGGTGGGGATTGAAGCCCTCAGAGC